AAAGTCGGCAAGAATTGAATCTGAAAAGATAAGTGAAACAACAGAGCAGAGAAGAGCAACTGACTGAAATGTGAATATGAAATGAAAGTCAGGTTTTAATCTTTTCCTTTTCCTCCCCTCTGCAGGACTGGATCAGTGTGCATGTCTTGAAAAAGACTCCATCAGACCCTCATATCTTCTTTCTACGGCCTTACTGGATCAGAGCATGCAAATCGTGTCCTATCTATCTTCCTTCTATAACCCCATCTCCACGGCATTATCCCAGCTTTTGTCAGTATGTCCCTGCAGCCTCAGCACAAAATTAACCCTAGACAGACTCAGGGCTGATACAATCAGTGCGGATCCCAGCCTCTGCAGTGCTTCGTGGTAATTACAATCATCCCTGTTGCTTCTCAGCTGAGACAAGTAGGAGAGAAAATGTCTGTGTCGGACGAAGAGGCAGCACGGACCAACCACACGCGCTGAAACTGCTGTAACTAGAAGGCACAAGAAACTGGCGATATCAGTATAGGATGAAAACAATCCGCAAAATAATTTAAAATAAAGAGTTTTTTAAAAAAAAACCCTACTCTGGATTTCCTGCAACCCTGAAAATGTGTTGGAAATACTTTAAAACGAGTTGCCTAAAATATTTACGGTTCTCTGGTAGCTGTACAAAGCATCAGGAAGAGTTTAGACACCGCCGAGAGTCGCCATGAGGGGGTATTAAAGTAGGCGGAGCAGAGAGGCAAAACACTCAGGACCGTGTCGTGAAGATGGAAGATCCGCGGAGACAGAGTGTTGTCCTCACTAACTTCACCGACGGCCTCGGCAAACCTTAAAACATCTCACCCTCGATTCTTCGAGATGAAAGGCGCTACACAAATGCAAGCAATCTGCCTCTCATCTCCTTGTTTTTGAATGCTACACAGATGCGTGTTCCTGCACATTAGCGTGCTTCACTGCCGCTGTGTATCTGCAAAAGGCACAACAGCTGCTGTCCTGCTCTGCCAGCAGTTTAACGCTCTAGGATTGATTTCTCTGACCTGAAGAATAACAGAACAGACAAGTAACTGAGAATCACCCGTCTCCGTCAGTGCGAGAAAAAGCAGTTGAAAGAGCACAGAGATAATCAGAAATATCACTCGGAGACACAGGCACCATCACATCCCCAGTAATGCCACTGCTCTGGTTTGAGCCTGACAGTCTGCACTCTTAAAGGAAATGCACCTTCATTTGGTCCAATACTGAGAGATTTTTTTTTATTGTTAAGTTTGGTATACAAGGCGATAATTAAAAGAGCAATTTATTTATGTACAATTGCAATTGCAATGCAATTTGAAAAAAAATCTACAGAATACATTCTTTAGCAAATTCAGCAGAGTTAAATATTTATTGGGAGTAAGCTATTTGGATTTCCGTGCAGCAGTCAACCTACAGCTACAGGTGGAGATGAAAAACAAACTGTAATACAGAGATTAATTACATATGATCGCATCGTGGCTCCCTGAAGTTAGAAAGGGGGAGCTATTTGGTGTGAGTTGCTTATTGTACCATTTTTATGGCGCTGCCAGACTCTTACAGTAACTGTCCTTTCCCTGCCTTGACTGGCTGATCACACTCTGCAGCACAGCCACTCTAGGCAGTGGCAAAATGCAAGCGATGGTGTCCTTTCCCTGACGTTATTGCTGCTTGGGAAGACTCAATAAGCTGGGCCCTGTAATTTTCCACCTGGGTGAGCTCTGCTGCGAGTATGCCATTGTGCGGCAGAGGAACAGATGACCAGTGAGGGCACCTGTGTATGTGGGTGTGTGGGTGTGTGTGTGTGTGTGTGTGTGTGTGTGGTTTTGTTGCAAGTATGCGTGAGAGAGTGCAGAATCGATCTGAGATATATTTGTAGTTTATGTGTAGTGTGTGAGGTGTGTGTGTAGTGTGTGAGGTGTGTGTGAATTATGTGGTGTTTTGTGTAGTGTCTGTAGTGTGTTTAGTGTGCAGTGTGTGGTGTGTTTGTAGGGTGTGTGTAGTGTGAGTGGTGTGTTATTGGTGTGTAATGTGTTTAGTGTGCAGTG